AGGAGGAGGTGGTGGCGGCCCCGTTAGATTTCCTTTCTCTAATAGGACAAGGACATCCAAGATGGGATGCTACCACATCACGGCAAAGAGAATGGCCCACAACCCCGGCCAGTTGGGCTGCAACGTTCCTCTTGCTCAAGTGACGGGGCCCCTCACCTACGCAAAAACCAGAGAAACGGGTCTCTGCTCTGGCTTTCCTGAAAAAGAGCTGTTGGAAAGCAGTCTTCAGCTAGAGCATCTGTTCTGGGCAGAAGGGATTTTATGAAGTAAAATCAATTGCCTTATTCTAGTTGGTTAAGTCCCCGTGCAAGGTGTTCCCTTTTCTTCCAGCGCCCTCTCTAAAATCTGGCTCAGCTCCCAGGTGACTCGCAAGAGCTTGGCAGAGCTTCTCCCTGCTCCTCACCCCCACGTTCCCTGGAGGCTGACCTCAGGAAGTCCTCTCAGCGCTGGGTTGGCTTTCTCCGACTTCAGGGTAAAACATTCAGGTCCGATGTTTTACAAGCAGAGGATGAACTGCAGAAGGAGGGTTGTGGCGGCACACGCGTCCTCCCCAAATCATGGCGTTCCTGCTCCCCACTGCAATGAGGCACTTGAGCAAACAAGTACGTAGGATGATAAACTCCTGCTTTTGTCATCAGCCTCATCCTACTGATCCCACAAGAAAGAGTGATGCTGGGGAAGATGGTTGTAGGTACCTATCCCAAACCCTCCCCTGATTTCTTCCTCCGTACGAGGGGCCTCAGACACCAAGCTCTACCTGGGGAGAAAACAAGCCTCCAGGAGGCAAGAATCTCCCTCGCCAGCGGCTTCCTCCTCTTCCTCCTCAAGCCGTGGTCTGGATCCTGCTTCCAGACTGATGTTTATCAAAGCATTAACTACCTCTGAGTGGTAAAAAACACACTTGCTGCAACAGCTTTTAGCATAGTCACTCTGCTCAATCAAGTAAGAGCTGATTAATCTAAGACAGATCAAAGAAACACAACCCTTCCTTTAAGCACCCCCACTCAGTTCTACGGTCACTGCAAGGGTCATCGAAACAGCAAGTGAAGGAGAACCAAGTAATTCATTCAGGTTTTATTTAAGGTTTCACTTTTATTTTTAAAATGGCTGAGCTGACCTCGCACATTAAACAAACCCGGCACTACAGGAGAGTTACGACAAGGCAGTATGAAGAGAAACACATTATCTAGCTGATTTTAAAATGGCAACAGCCCCTGTATTTCCAGGTGGGACATGACACAAAGACATCTGCTGGCAGGTGAAAGCTGCAGTCAGAAACCTGTGGGTGCAGAGTGACAAAGTCTTCTTTACAAACACGAGACCAAAGCCCGGTGGCTGCTGACACGATCCCAAAGCAGTGCTGATGGTGAAAAGATGCTGTACCGATGCTGCAAGGCAAGAGGCAATGAGCTGCTTGTCATCCACAGAAGCCTGTGTTAAATTTGCTTCTGCCGTTTCACATACGCACAAAGCCTGGCCTCTCTCTTCAGTTCCTTGGCACATCAAGGCCATCTCCTCCGCTCTAGCTCCCGCTTTGCCTTTTCAGCTGAATTTTGTCATTTTTGCGAACCTCCTGGATTAGCTCCAGCTCTGTCAGCACAGGCTGTGCCTCAAAGCCATATTGCTGCTCCAGTCTCCACTTCCAGCACCTCTTCCTTTCCCAGGCTCCTTTCTGCTCTTCTCCTCCAGAGACGTTGCTGCCTTGAGATGCAGCAGGCTGCTGGGGCACTCCCTGAGTTTCTTCAGCAATTGCGCTGTTGAGGTTTTAACCTTTGCTTCATCCTACCCCAGCACTCCTTGGACCAACTCCCACCTTCCTCTGTAGCTCTTCGCACCACTTCTCTGCAGGCATCCATTTTGGCAGCAAGTTTCTGTCCCGCTCCCATCTGTATTGCTGTTTTGTTACTGTTGGCTATTCCCTGTCAAAATTTGCAGCTGCTTCTCTGAGATCCCGTCTTTGACATTGTGAGCTGTCATTAGCAACAAACGATGAGATCCTAGAGCATTAATTATCCATACGCTTGACCCAGTAGGGCTGACAACCCCTAAATACATCTACAGGCTCTCTATTACTGTTGAAATAAGAAGCCATTAAAAAGTCTTGTTATTTTATGGCGGGAAGATGAATGGAGAATCAGACTTCACCTTTAGCAATTTTAACATTGAAGATGTCATCATCCACTGTACAAATGGATTATGCAAGCTCTTAATTAGGAACAAGGTTCAAACAAATGTTGTTCTTGGACTTTGGTCTGGACCAATTCTACTGTCAGCCAAGGACGGTAGGCTTTAAGGAAGCAAGTACCGACTTACAGGCCATCGCAGTCCGCTCTCGCACAGCACTTTGCTGCCAGTGTGCCCTACTTACACCAACCTGCGGCATTTTGAGAGACAGATGGATTATGATACTAACAGAGATCTCGGCTAAGAAGCAACAGCCTTTTCCACACCTCACATTTCTGACCAGGCAACATTTTTGGCACTTTCTCTAAACCAGGCCCCTGAAAAGGGGCATCAAGTTGGAAGTAAAACACTGCAGCAACCCCAGTTACTTTGCAAAACAGTGGCTTTTGTGTCCATGTGGTGTTTACCCCCCAAGCCTCTTCTCAAGCCCTAACCAGATCGTTTAAGTCAAGTAAGTGTCTCCATGGAAACCTCCTTTCTCAAGGAGCCTCCTTGCTGTAGAAAACCGTGCACCCCTTTTGTTTAAAAGGGGAACGCAGTTTGGTAGGAGCATAATGCCTGTCTGGAGAAGAGCCTGCAACGACTCATCAGCCAGATTTATGTCCTTTAAAAACACGTCTATTCGATTAAGACGTTTTAGGGATGGCTAAAGGTGTGCTATCGCTGTTGCAACTAAACTAGCAAGTTCTGCCACCCCCTCCATCCCTGCCCTGGCTCTTCACTCTCAGCATCACAACCTGTCTTCTTCAAGGCACATGGGGTCTGCGTACCCCTCTCACACACAAACTCTCGGCCCCGGTGAACTCCAAATCAATTCTTTGTTTAAAAAACCCCTAAAGTAATACAAATCAATGCCCATTCTTGAAATATAGGAAGCATCTTGTCGAAGCTATTAGCTACTTCTTAAATAAGACCATCTTCTGTGTTTTGGAGAAGAAGAGATGAGCCTCTCCCTCCAGTAAGCCCTTGGTAAGCTGTAGCATGTTATATGATTTCTGGTATAGGATTGCTTGAGATCCCTCAAAAAGGAAGCCAATTTTCAGAAAGGATACTCAAACAATTGAGTATTTCATGTTCTAATACAGAAGAGAGACTTTAATATTAATAGGCAAATAAATAATTAATTAAGGGCTGTGGTTAAAAATGGTTTCAACTCGGGCAAATCAGTTCATAGTGTACGTAAAAAAAAAAAAGCAGCAAAGCCACCAAAGAAGTTCTCTAGTAGGAATCGCTTTCAAATCACAGCAGAGCCAAGATGTTCTCAGGAAAATAAGCCCCAGAGGTTAATTTTTAAATCAGACAGTCACTATTTAAGAGCTCTGTTTAGACACTAAGGTGCCGTAAAGGGCTATGTGGAAGCTAACGCTGGTGCTGATGCCAGGCGATGCACAGATGAAGGGAGAGTGGAGGAAAGGATGTATTTCAGAACCACAACAAAAAAATAATCCCCTTCACCTAAACTTAAGGTAGTTACGAAATTTTGCTAAGATTTTCTGAGAACATAAAAACATGACGTGCCTGGTAACTTGAAACTAGGTCCAGGCACACTGTAGCAGTTGCCTCCTTTTCCCACCCATCACTGGTGGGGAAAAAAAAGCCTGGGACAAGATGACACACACCTATGGTCACAGTCTTGCAGCTTCCCAGTGGGGAACGAAAGGCTTTTGGCAAACCCCCTCTCAAGCAGCTAACAGAAACCAGGCAGGACCGATTCAAAGTGGAAGTCAATGAGATGGAAGCACATTACTAGCATAAGAAGAGGGATAAACAGTCATTCGTGTCATTTCCTTTACATTATGCAACAGAGAATCCAGAAGAGCGACTTAAATACACACAACCAACCTTTTCTACCTTCTTTGGGGAAATTTAGCAGAAATCTTGCTGCAGACAAATAAGCTCATATGCGTGCTCGCTCGCAGATAGGGCATATCTGCATTAAGGTTCTCATCTCAATGGGATGCAGAGGATGGAGTAGGGAATGGAGTTAAAGAGAAGTCAGAGACATTAAACACGTTTAATCCTGTGCTGTCAAAAAAGTCAGTTGCCAAATCTGTAAGGCCAGAGCCATATGAGATTTCAGATCAAGTGAGATCTAGCCCCCAATTCCTTTTTTCCCATGTATGCCATCATGAGACTTCCAGAGGAAATATAAACAAACTCCTTATCAAAGGGAATTATTCAAGGGTAGTGGCCTTCCATTTCACAATCTCCACCTAAGCTCCAAGCAGAGGAGCTCATCGATAGATCATATCCCTCTCCAGGCTGGCAGCTTTACTGTTTTGCCTAAAGAATTAATCCTTGGATACAAGCTTTGTGAGGGGAAACTTAATATTACAGGGAGATGAAATATATAGGCACAAAGGGAGAGAGGCTGCAGATTTTGGCAATGGACTTCAGACTTCAGCCTTGTGTCAAACAGTGACCACCCTGGACCACAGGGAGGGATGCGATGGGAGAAGGCACCACAGAAGCAAAAGACCTCACAAACTCTATCTACACCCAGTAAAACTAGTGTAAGAGCTGTCATGTATTGTGGAGCGAACAGGAAAAATATATTTGCATTAAAATCCAGGTGCAGGGAAGAAAGGGCTGAGCCAGCAGCAGGTCTCAGCAAGAAGCAGGAAAGTGCTTTGGAGAGAGATGAGAGGTTACTCCAGAATCAGTTTAAACTCACCCCATAAATGACCAAAGCAGTACAGAGAAAGCAGCTCCCCCAGTTATAATGCAGATCTTTTATCGATTGTCTCTGTGTGTAAAGTTACTCCCTCGAGAGCCACTTGCTATCCCAAAGGACTACAGAAGAAGGGGTAAGAGACGAGGTTATATCACTTTATCCAACACATTTGAGCACCCGGTGACGATATGAACAATAATCCCACCCGACAGATGTGTCTGGGTACAGTGAATTCTCCAATCCTCCCTCAGCCCCAAGTTAAGAAACGCAGCAGTCATTTTATTAAAAATCAGTATACAGTTAAACATAAGCCCAGTGTTTACAACCAATCCCTCTAGTAGTTCCATGTTTCCTGTTGTTTTACAGACTATTAGCAACCAAAGGAATCAGTAGCATAAAGACACCACTATCATTTCAAAAAATTAAGTCCCCACGTCTCCAAGAAAGCAGCATCCACAATCAGTTTGTTTTCCGTTGGACTTGCTCTAAGAAACAAGAGTTTTCAACATCATTTTGCAGGCAAATCTTATCTTTATAATAGTAATTGCTCTGTTTGCTTTATCATACAGGGCAAGGGTCTCTAAGAAGCCTCGCAGCGCTGATAAAATAACTCTAAAAGAGCTCTCTGTCAATTTTTCCTGTGATTTACCTTCTAGAAATCAGAAATATTTGAGATTTGGTTAACTAGTCGAGTTGAAACTAAAGGGGGAGGGGGGGGCCCCCAATTCACATGATCTGGCAAAAAGATCACCCATTAATTAAGTTTTCCAACGGCTGCAGGAAGCACACAGAGGCTTTCTCCGTGCTCCCTCGAAGCATCCAGCAGTGCTGTAGGAGGGATGCGTATTCACGCCCTCGTTCCCCTTTCAGTTGTTACAGCTGTTCACGTTTCTGCTGCCTGCTTCCTTCCCTCAAGTCATCCAAAGCACAGAGCAGCCTCAGTGGTGTAATAGCAGCTTGCCAGAAGCAGGGAAAGTCCAGCCAGCAAAAGCTTTAATTTATTAAGATAAACATGGTCTAAGGCTCCACATTATTTTTAAAACTAAACACAGTAAGAAATATGGAAACAAACTGTCTTCGCTACGTGTAGGTCAGGTTCAGACGTTCTCAGAAAGATCTTCTCAACCATACAAAATACTCTTCCCCTCTCACCCCCACCACGAGGATGGAAAGATAGTTCACTATGTAAGATCAGCAATGTCCCCATTACGTGCCCTTCCACATTCAGTGAACAATACCTCTGCCACCCTTCAGGGCAGATCAAAGTTTTAAGAACTCCCCTGTGAAGAAGGAGCAGAAGGGGAGAGGGGCAGGTAATTCAGTCTCTGAAATGAACATCTAAAAGTCTTGACACGATGACTGTGTTGACTCCACCACTTTAATGGTTGTTCTTGGCTGCCTCTTTAGCTGCAATAATCAGAGGAGTGAGACTAGATAGAGGCTTTGCAATTTTCAGGAACTGGTGCTAAGAAGAAGAAAAAAAGAAAAAGGGTTAAATTTTTCAGAACATGCCCCAGAATTCTGGTGGCTACTCAAAATTTTGGCACCTAGACCCATGTGAAGTCTAACAACCTACTCTAATCTCGGAACAGGTGAAACCAAAAGGTCTGCTACCACCACAAACTTTTGGGGCTCACCTGAAGTGATGAACTTCAGGAACTAAGAAGAAGAAAAAAGAAAAAGGGTTAAATTTTTCAGAACATGCCCCAGAATTCTGGTGGCTACTCAAAATTTTGGCACCTAGACCCATGTGAAGTCTAACAACCTACTCTAATCTCGGAACAGGTGAAACCAAAAGGTCTGCTACCACCACAAACTTTTGGGGCTCACCTGAAGTGATGAACAGATTCGCACCCAACACATGCTAAAGTCTCCAATGTTTGTACATGTTCAAGACCGAGCAAAACTCAGTGAATTCCCCATAGGAATTATAAAGTCTTGCAAAATCTATAGTGAAATTCTGTGTGGAAGGAAAGTGTACTAAAAACAACCTGTGCGGTTCAAACACAAGGCACAGGGCTTCCTGCAGGAATCACCTCTCATTTCTCTCTTCCCTATTATCACAGGTCTGGTGAAAGCATTGCCTTGGCCTTCTACGGATATTAGAAATTTGCAAAGCAGCTGGAATTCAGGAGAGCAGCACAGAGCTTGCAACACAGAACCATTCAGTCAGTCTCCTATACAAGGTGCTCTGTTAAGTAAAACAGTATTGATTGTCAGAACAGCTCTCAGATGAGAGTGAAGGCATGTAGGGCAAGTTCACAAGCTGTTCTGAAAACAAAAAGCAACTATATCACACAGGACTTCTGAGCATCAGCAGAGATCAATCACCCAAGGCAACATGCTTCAGAGATGGGGGCTGGGGTGGGTGGGGTGGAAATCAGAGGCTAAAAGGTAGTTAAAACCAGGCAGAAATGTTACAGTCAAAATGTTCTCCTGCTCCAAGGAACAGAACATTACTGCTTTCTGATATTTTGGGGCTGGAAAGTCCAGGAGAAAAAGTGATCTTTCAACTACTGCCATTCTGCCAGTGATTAATGCTTCATGACAGTCTCAGAAGGCTGCAACACATCCAAAACTGAATCCACTAGACAAACTAGTGGAAAGAAAGGAAAACATAAAAGGGAACTGTCTCACAGTTGAGGTCTGAGTGCCCCTGATCACCGGTTTATTTTACAAAGAGCTACACTTCCGCCCCCATGGCAAACTTGTCTGTCAAGTCTCTGGATTGTCAGATTGTCTCTGGATTACAGATACAATTATTTTGCCTCTCCCTCCCCCCAGTTCAATGGGGAGGGAAAAAAAAACCCCACCTTATCAGGGTGACTAATCAATGCTTAAGTTTCTGCAAACAGAATAGTTGCCAGCCCTATTTTTATGTGGATGGGATCCAATCCTTTATTGTTTTACCCTCGTAATCTGGGTTTGGATCCTGCAGCCCTCTCAAGGGATTAAGAGGACAAAAACAACATTCCAGACCGTGTTTACATAGGGAAGTTAACTGGCATGACTCTGCCAGTGCTAGACTCCTGCGATAACTATATCCTCATGGGAAGGTACCCCTGAATAAATAGGTGATTTTTTTCTGTCGGTACTTTGCCCGAGTGCACAAGGCCTGAAAAGTCAATACTATAAAGTTGCAGTTGGCTCCTTACAAAAGATGTCCAGCAGACCCCGAAGCAGCTTTTAACATCCTGCAGAAACAAGCAGTTTCGCTACTGCTTGGGGATGAAGCATTCACACGCACACCCCTCTGAGAATCAAGGAACTCAGAATTCATCCATTTCAGGATTTCACGCAAGAAACTTCTTGGATGGATTTTCAAAGGAAACTGAAATCTGTCAAAGACTTGTTAATATGCAGGCCCTTTGAGCACATCACTTGGCACATCCCATGGGAGCAGTCTGATAGCCTGGGATCGGCACAAGTTGAGTTAAATGAGGTCAAAGTTGCTTAACCACCCTCGTTTAACTCAACACCCAGCTTCTTTCCTTTCACTCTTCTTTGGTGCTGCTCTTCTCTCCCAAAAATCACTTCCAGTGCAAGAGATGGAGACAAAAGTTAAAAAGAATTTTTCTAGATCCCCTCATCCTGGGTAGCTGAGGGAGAAGCCATAAACCTGGCTTATATTAAGAGCAGTTACATCCCTACAAACTGACAGCATCTCCCCTTTCATTAAAAACTAAACAAGGGAAAGACATCAGGAGGTTTAAGCCCTGTCTGAAGACTTATTAAGCTTGTAGCTTTATTTGGGGCATGCAAGGAGGAACAGTCAGCCAGTAGGAAAAAGCTCCATTTATAGAATAGTAACGTGTCATATTTTTGAACTTAAGGAGAACTCTTCCCCACACACAGGGCACAAGGATTCAAGAAGTCAGCTGCTTTGGTGCCATCAGGTACTCTTTCTGCTTCTATCAGCATCTCCAGAAAGTGGGAAATTATGAGTGTGCATGATCTAACTCATCAGAGCTGACCAGAGGGTCTGCAACAGGAAGAACCCACACCTCTGCCACCCAGAGCAAACTATGGCTTTTAACTAAAACTATCTCAATCTTCTCACAGCGACATCTAAGGAGATACGGGGCTGCAGGTGGTGAAACCGCACTGGAGGATTCACCTGCCTCCTTTAGAACCTAGTTTCACCAGCAGGCTTAGCGAAGACCTGAGGGCAAAAGATACTCGCTTACTCTCAGGGGGTTCTCATTGAGGTAGGGGGGCTCTCCTTCGATCATCTCGATGGCCATTATCCCCAGTGACCAGATATCCACTTTGGGCCCATATGCTTTCCGTGTCACCACTTCAGGTGCCATCCAGTACGGGGTCCCCACCATGGTGCTGCGTTTGCTCTGCTCAGGAGTGATCTGGGCACAGAAGCCGAAGTCAGCTGGAAAATTAAAGACCAGGGCGGGGAAAGAAACAGACATAGAAATCAGCAAGTTTCTCCAAAGACACGCTTACTGATGCCAGAGCTGTAGTACAAGTTACCCTGCCGCACCGTCTGCGTTGCTGCTGCAACTGTGAAAGGAGGGGTGGTTTTGTGGCTAATACAGAAGACGGTGTTGAGAAGTAAGTTTCTAAATCTGACTCACTGAGGCCATGAGGATTACAGAGCTGCTGACTTATCTAGGTGAAGGATGGGGATCAGTAAATAACCATATATGGATGTTGAGACACTTGACCGTGTTTGCAGCATTATGCAGCTGTAATACACTATGTAATATATGGTCTAAAGACTGTTCCTGGGTATGTGAAAATAGAAATTAATGCACAGTCTGATCTAGATACATCCCCCAGCCCACATACTGTGTTGTCTGGTGATATTTGCAGTCCCAGAGATATTACTTCCCCAGTAGATACATCATCCCTGAAACAGGATTTGCTTTACAGAGCAAACAGTGTTTAGAATAAATTTAAAATACCTAAATTTATACTGATTACTTTCTTCGAATAGACAGAAAGATGGAGCGCCTTCACACAAAGATTGCTGGGTCCTATGTCTTATTTGTATTTGACTTACCAAAAGAAAACTAATTCTGTTCTTGTGAGCCCAGCAGAATCAACACAGCAAGATGCACTGCCCATCCTGACCCCCTATGGCACCGCAGGTCTAATTTTAGGCAGAATGATGAAAATTAAACTGATCCCTAGATGAGTTTTTATCAAGGGTAAGAACCAGGGAAGGTACATATGGTTCATAAACAGAGCAAATTTCCAGCAGAGCCAATAAGCAGCTCAGGTCCAGAAGGTTACTGCATCATACCCACAGGGACTTCTCTAACTTCAAACTACAGCCTGGTACCTGCATACTGTGCTCAGAGAACTTATTCCATAAGAACAGAGCACTTCGGCCCTGATCAGCTATTCATCGCTAACACTCTGGAGATCTGACTGTACCAAAGTACAGCTTTAGTCTAAAAAGCAATTATGTGCAAAAAACCCCCACCTTCTTACTCAGCATATCTGCACTGTGTGAATTTTGAGTCATATCTGCTGTCACTGCTGACAAAAATAGATTTATTTATGCCTGTTGGGTGCTAGCCAACAGAACTGAGAGGGAGAGAAAGGAAGCACAATTCTGTTAAAGCTATAGGTGGAAGATAATCATTCACTAGTTTCCAGACTTATCTCTGCATGGGCAATGACAAACACAACAGCTACCTTAGCACCCGAGGGGCAGGACAGTCTCGAGGTCTTCATTACGGGTGGTAACACAAGGAGGAAACAACATTTAGAGTCCAGTCTGAGTTGGTGTTGTAGGATTAAATGTTTTCTAGTTACACAGTTTTCAATTCTCCCTCCACTCCCTCTGCCCCCCGAGTACCTGCAGTATTTTCCAGGCTGAAGAGATCGCTCACAAATAAAGATTTCTGGCCCTACACCTTCAAACCCAGCTTTCTAGACCAGAGTAGCATTAAAATACTGTTATTTTAGTCCACAAAAACAGATGGCCCAAAGCTAAACGAGCCCCAAACCTCAATTCAGGTCTGGTATCAGTTCACAAGGATTCATGCTTGCCAATCTCCATTAAAACCAAAGCCACAAAAATACCTACAGGAGCATTTCTACAGCCTCTTCAACACCACAGCATCAAGCATCTCAAACACCCATCTCCCCAACAGGCCTGGCCCAAAGCAGATAACAGGCCTGGGTTGATAGGTCATCACCAGCAATGTCCCCCGCGTACTTAGTTTGACAGAGCCATCCATTCCCAGCAGGATGTTGTCACTCTTGATGTCTCTGTGAATAACTTGGTTTGAATGGAGGAATTCCAGAGCTTGGAGACACTGAAAAAAAATAAAATAATTGAGATAGTCTTACTGTGCATGAAATTACTCACCAGTCACAATTAGCCAACTAATGGACTCTAACAATGTGCATTTTGAGTAGCAAGGGCTTAGTGTCTCAGAGTCTTTCATATACCCAGTATGTGCAGGGCGACAGAGGGATATCCCACTGAGATCAGCAGGTCCTAGGAGGACAGGTTAGTCCCAAAAGACCTGGGGAACAGGCATAACCAAGGGGATTCCAACCCCGTTTTGTGCTCCAGTTCTCCCTCTAGGGTGAAACATATTAGGCTTGCATTAGGATTGTGTGCTGCAACCTCCCAGATGAAATCCATCCTCTGAAAGAACGACTGTTGCATTACAGAAGCTGGAGACAGCTATTCCTGTGGAGCCAGTGACAGGTCGTGGAAAGCCTGTGTCCCCTTCCCAATCACAGCTCCCTCCGAGCGCGAGTGCCACTTTACCTCTCGGCACACAGCTGCAATTTGTCCTTCATCCATGCAGGTCTCTGTCACAACATCTGTTAGGGAGCCTCCTGCCAAGTACTCCATGACCACCCAGAGCTCTTCTCCTACAAGGTAACTGAAGAGCCAAAACCAGATTTTAAAATCAGCAAGTATGAGCATGCCACTGTTTACCTAGCCAGAATGCACTGGGTTTTAAAGCTGTCTTAGAAGTGCAGAGAAACCATGAGGCTTGAGCAGCGTATTTAACAGCACTGGGGCAGCAGGCACTCGTGGTACCTTCTGTACACGGGAGGATCTGATCACAACCTGAATGAACAGAGGGAAGGGTGAGTGCAGAAAGTCGCGGAGAGAGGTAACGGGAGAGCAGATTATAAGTTTCCTGGCCATAAAGGCAAGGCTGAATTTTTCTGCCATGAAAAGGGCCCAGACTAAGATGGAGACCTGACCTTAAAACTCCTGCTGCTGCTGGGAGAGAAGGGGAAGAGCTACTAGTCAAGGATGGGGTCCGAGCATGCAGCCCAGACTTCTGGCACATAGCATGGCTTTTGAGGGGCTCTTGCATCCAAAGAGGTGGCTGGGGGCTGCTTTGTTACTACTGGCATCCTGCTGTCCTAAGCAACTGCCTACTTTGCCTAGGCCCAGGGACAATCCTGGGTGACACAATGGATGGCTGCCCATGAACAACAGAGAAAGAACACTTTTTTTAAGCATCATGCATTTGAAAAATCACCTCAATCTTTTTCATGCTACCAAACCAGTTTGGGATTTTGTCTGAAAAATTCAGAAAGTTCATAAGGGCAAATGAGAACATCTTGCTGGATACAATAGCAATTCTAAAGATTTAAAATAAAAAAGGAATGCCCAAAAGGCCAGGTCTTGTCCAAAAAGGCCTGTAGGAAGATGGGGAAGAGACAGCTGAGGTGAGGGCAAGTTTTCTCAGCCATTTGGGATAGTCTTCTCAGCTGGGAGTGTGTGTGCTCATGTCTAAAACCAGAAGACCTGGTATGAAGACTTCAGCATTAACTCATTTTAAAAAAAAAACCAAAAACAAACAACAAACCGTAACCACCAACCACTTCTGCCTTTTTGGGCCCATCTGGAAAAACATCAACACAATCTTTCATGATAGATGTATCAGGATGACACATTCCTGAAGGAAGGAATCATCAGCTTGAAAACTTGAAAACTCACCTTCTCAGCCTATCCTCCTATTTTTAAAGTGAGTGGACAGATGAGTCAAGAGAGAGGGCAGAGAATCGAATTAAAAGCTTCTGCTGGCATTAGAGTTCATCAAGCAGATGTTTGCTTTGCTCTGAAACACTGATCCTACTGAAGAGTGAATAGTGAATTTGCTAGGAGCCAAAGGCAAAAAGCAGGACAAGTTCTAGGGAACAATTAGCTAGAAAGCAACAGTGAAGGAGAATGAAGTTAAGCCCAACTTGGCACGGAAAGTAGACAGAGATGAGTGAGACATCACAGGAGCGGGCAGGAGGTAGGCTTTGACCCCAAAAGGACACACTGCCAACACCTGAGCTGATGAAAAAAACTCCCCCAAAATAAGAATTGTGGTCTGAGCTGCATGACAGAAGTGTTACAGTTATGGAGAGCTTTTAATATTGGAGACAAAGATGGTATCTGCATTTGGTGATGCTGAAGATTATGCAGGGAGGCAGAATTTGGAGTTTCTTTCAAGATACAGAGCCCAAGGACACAGGGCTATGCTCCTGGAGCAGACAGGTCTCCAGCTCCACTATGGAAGAGAAGCTGATGCACTGGCAGTTTTTTGCCCAGCAGCACAGACCCCAGAAAAAACAGTATCACCTGCACAGCAGCCCCTCAGAGTGACAGAGGAGCAGCAGAATTGCTTTTAGAAGCGCTTCTGCCAACTCTGCAGATCATCTACCTTCTAATGGGCTCTGAAAGCCACTCCATCCACACCCTTCCTTCCTGCCCTTATGCTGTTGCTGCTTCTTCATCACTCCTGCCAAACCAGGCTCTCTCCAGCTTTTACCAGCACCCTCTCAACAAATTAGTGTCACCCTGGACATCACAATGCTTCCCTTCATTGCCACTAGCACCCTCTGCAGCCCAAATCCACTTGACTGTAAGGATGGGGGCAGAATGGGCTCCACCGCTCCTGCGTGACAATCTCAGGTTGCACATGCTGGGAGCAAGCTGGTATCTCTCCACAGCCAAAAGGGACGTAGCGAGCAAAGAACCACACTGTGAACCCAAGCTGTGCCATGACCAGCCAAAGGCATGGGCCAAAACCCAGGCACCTCAATAACTGATAGATCTGACATAACAGGGAGGTGGAATTAAGGGTGGCTCCCCACCAGCTGCCACGAAGCGAATGTCATTTCAGAAGATTGAGTGGTGCCGTCTCAGGGATCTTTTCACTCTCCTGTTGCAGCAGAGGCCAGTTTTAGTCACTGAGTTGCCTGCTGTAAGCGTGCCTCGAAACCACTCTCTCAGCAGTTCTGGAGACACCACCAGGAAGTCCATACACCTACGATCTGCTCTCTATGTGACGTCAAGCATAGCATGGTGTCGCACCTTGTCACCCACAGTCACCTTCCAAAACAAGGCTGGCAGTAAAAAAAAGCTGATGAAAGTCTTTGAGGAAGAAGGAGGTGGTCTACAGCTTTCTCTTTATCCATCTGCAAGAGCAGTTAATGTCTGCTCCTGTAAGGTGTTCCTCAGCTTCCACTTAGATACCTTAGGAAGGCGTCCACCAAGCCCTTCCTATCACAAACACACACCAGTCAGTCATAGTCCTTTTTTATTGATAAACTTTATAAAATTTGGTTTTGCCCAAAAGAGCAAGATCATTCATTACAGATTTCTGCACTAGTAACATGCCTCCAACATGCAAACATGAAGGTAGCCTGGAAAGAAATCAGTGTTTTCTTGTAGCATGACTGTCATACATCTTCAGCTTTATACACTGACCTTCCAGCCCTAGTTGAGTTTGGGGTTGAGGTGAGGGTAACAGTGGCTACTACTTAAAGCGAGGGTTTATTAGGTTAAGGAGAGTTCTTCAGAAAGAAAGAAACCAAAGGGCAGGAGTTTGCTTTGCCTAACACTGGGCATCTGATGCCTGTGTTTAGATGCCTGAGTTTAGAAGCAGGCCTCTGAGGGCCTCTTTCACACAGTAGAAAGAAACTGGCACCTCCAGAAGGTAACTCAGCACAAGTGGCTGCAATTCTGCACAAGAAAACGGTACGTCACTGTCTTCAGAGCCGGATGCTTCTAAATTCAGCTCCTAAGTACAGCTGGATTAGGCCATGTCACTATCTTAAATGTCACAGCACACCTTTGTGCAACACTGGCCACTTACACTGCAACAGAAAAGCTGTCTTAACCACGAGCAAGTAGGCCATGTAGGTAAGAGAGGATAAAGCACAGGAAACCCTTGGGCAAGGGCAGGAGCTGAGGCAAAGAGAAGCGAGAGAGCTGGTTTATACAGATGACTATCTTGCAGCTCCCATTAGGGACTCGGAAGGGGAGACACTGTCAAAAACAGAACCGCAAAAAAGAAACGAGGTCCCACAGCGGCAAGCACATCCTTCCTCGTACTTCCTTCTGCGACAGCAGTAGGCAGAAACCAGCAAGCGGCATTCAAATATCAGCTTAATTCAGCACTCAGGAAGCAAACAGGCACATTAGGCCAGGCAGGAGGAAAGCAGCTCCCCAGCAACAGGATCCTGCAGTTGCAAAGCTGAAGTGGTATAATAGGCACAAGAACCCCCACATTCATCCTAGTTGCTGCTCTGTCCATTTGCAGCACTCAAACAAAAGCTAATCCCTCTGAAAAAGATTAGTGAGAGAAAGTGGAGGACAAAAGCAGCAGCTTTTGTTGCTGGAAGCTTGAACAAGACAGCAGGACGTGCAGCTACCCTACAGCTGGGATGTACTGGCTAGACAAGGCAAGTGCATGTACCCAGCGATGCTCTCTCTAATGGGAAGAATGTGTCTCTCAAATAGTTTTGCCAAAACGAAGCCTCTAATCAGCCAGGAGAAATACACCGTTTCAGCCCAGATTCAATTCTTAACTCTTCTTTACCACTTGTTTCATTTTACACAGGTAATATCCTCCTGCTCTTTATAGAATCATAGAATCATTAAGGTTGGAAAAGACCTCTAAGATCATCGAGTCCAACCGTCAACCTTTGTAAGAAGAGGGCGCCTGCCCAGCATCACCTCCCTGTGCCCACACCCCTCCCACAAAATTTCAGGAGCAGACTTCCTGTCCCTTCAACAACATAGCTCTTTACAGCTATGCATAGGACACAGCACCATATAAATTCAGCATCACAACTGATGCTGCAGTATACAAGAAGCACTTTTTTTGGCTAAGACACTGAAAGCCTGTTAAAGAAGCCTGTTAAAGAAACAGCTGCTAAGATTTTGATATACATGCAGAGCAAACAAGTGTGCAAATACTCTCTCAGATTTCCAAAAGAGATTCTAGCTCACATCCCTCCATTGCATCTTCAAAAAAAAAATGAGCTGCCAAGATTAAAGCCTGCATCCTATCTAGGCACTTTTTACCCTACAATAAGCCAAACCTGTAGTTCATCAGGACTGCTGGATTCTGACATGAGTGCAGCAGACTGAAAATCCTGCTGCAGCTCAACTGGAACTAGCTGTATCTTTAACATAAGGTGAATGACACAGGCTCGACACAATGCACCAATGTTATGTTGATGGTGAATTCAAGCCACCATGCAACGCTTTTGCCTGTTGGGCTTTCACTACACCCCAGATTTCAATGCTGACAGTTTGTGGCTGTTTCCTGGAATTCAAACAAGGCAGATGCAAGAATTTCTTGCACTTTTCAAAGGCAGTTCCCTACCCCCAAAGAAGCACATTTACCAGTTGCTCTTTTCGAAGCAGTCAACCTCCAAACAGCTGATGATGGCAGCACTGCTACCATCAACCTTATGTACAGCATTAACATCCTGTGGGGAAGAGCTCTCACAGCCATGTTTGTTTGCAGACTTGGGCATTTTACTGTCTTGAGCTGTAGTGACCAGAATTTTCACAGCTACACATGTTTATTTTAATAACAGTTTACACTCAGTGCAGCAGCCACTGTGCTGCTTGCTTCTGCTCTGTTATTGTCCCAGTCCAAGGGACGTCAGCTCAAGAACAAGCAGAGCAGGTCTGTACATAGATAAGCTATTAGGTGCAACTCTTGTGGTAAGGAGTAGGGATTCAAGGAGGAGCTGTTCCATATGGACATAATATATCCAAGGCTGAGCAGGAGTGCCGCAGCACGTGTATGAGCCCACAAAGCCCAGCTTTGAGCAGGGAATAACCCTGTTCCCTCTGTCTTCCAAAAGGTTCTTACGTCTGTGCCAGGTCTCCTTTTCTCCCTTATTCACACCCGCAAGAAAGCAGCCTGGCTTGGTAATGTGTCGCATGTCATTCACCCTCGTCACTGTTATGCTGTTGTGCCGAAAACCTCAGTGGACAGCCACAGGGACAAGATTACCATCTAAGCCTGGAAGGCATTTGCTCCTCCGCAAGCAGAATGTCAGCATTGCTCAGCAGAAGAGGAAAGAAGAGGAAGAGGAAAGCAAATAGAAGTAGTTTGAACTGTGTTATTTGTATTTCTCCTCTAGTAGCAGGAAGGAAACGTCTTGTTGCATCAAATTTGGCAAAGGAGAGAGCTGAAAAATGGAGTCCTGATAGCATACTGCTAATGCCTTTGCTGCCAGCATCTCTAAAGAGAGCCTAGATACCCCATTAATACCTGTTTCTCCTAGGATTATGGAGAGAGACCACCAAGCCACCCACATCCCAATGTTGCCACATGCATTAAGCAATGCAAGTTGTCCTATACCTGCATTAAGCTGAGACAGGATCACTTAAGACAGTGACAAGGAAGTGTCTCCCAGAGTCCCTTTGTGAACTCTTCAAACCATGACATACCTGTCCAAGTAGTTGACAATATTGGGGTTTTTGTTTTCCCTCATCACAAGGATTTCATTAATAATCAGTTCTTTTTTCGGCTGCTGCTGCAAATTCATCTGTTTGATTGCAACCTGCAGTGAAGAAAGACCAAGTAAAGCATTATTACAGGAGTCCCCTAGAAACCTGCCAGCACCGTTGTCGATTATTTTAGTCCCACATTCACGTGAAGCGGGAAAACACTTTTTCATCATGGGTTGCTCAGCCATTTAGTAACTCTGTGAGTTTCTGCAGCCAGTCCATTTCCACACATGCTGGAGGATACTTAATGCCAAAAAGGCCAAGGGGAATTACTATTTTCATACAGGACCTTTATGTCACACAGTTGGATAGCCATCTCCACCTACAGCTTCTTGGTAACAAGGAAGAGATCCCCTTACTCTAGCATGGACTGATATGTCAAAAAAAGTTTTATTTCTTAAAGGATTCTTATTAATTTCATTTTGGATTGGATGTTTCTGGAAGTTTTTTGGTGTTTTTTTCTGCTCCCGTGCAAATTTCTGCTTCTAGAAATCTACAGCAGGGCGGCCATGCATGGAGGGGGTAAATAATGTAGCCTAAACCTAGTACTTTGAGGTGGTAATTCTATTTCTTTCTGTCACAGCAAGACCTGGGGGGAAGAAGCACCAGTGTTTAGATAAAAGGCTGAAAATAAGTGAATTGGATTCAGCTTTATCCTCAGTCATAACTGAAGGGCAATAGGGATGGATTTGTCAGTTGTAGCCCTTTGGCTTAGTAGCATTCTGCCTGCTTCAGGATATCTACTCTGCATGTATATATGCAGAAAGCAGGAGAATACACGTTTTTAACTCTTACATTCAACTCTCCACACTACCGGTACTTTGTGAGAACACCTGGCCCTCAGACAAGCCTTCAAATCAATAAGACTACTCAGCACAACAGGAGGCAGAAACACTTCCATAGACATTACAACCCAACTGTATTTGGTACAATATTTAGGCAAAGGGAATGAAATGTAATTATGCCTTTACAAAACCGGTACTTGGAGAGAAAGAGGCCTAGGTGAATGGAGGGGAGCCAGTAACTCCAGCTCACAAAAGCAAGGATTAAAAGAAACAAGCCACAGAGTGCCAATATGGATGGATACAATTAGCATCTTGATAGTATAGCAAAGGAGACTATAGAAAAATCCCAACACATGAGAAGGCAAGAACAGACAGACACCATGCTGATTTTCTACAGTATTTACGAGGGCTGCCAAACAGTACTTAAAGGCAACAAAAACAAAAACCCCGTGCTTCTCTTTGCGCAAGACAAGAGAGGAGAATGAAAGATGAAGAAGAGAGGGAAGGCATTTGATGCAGATAAAGACCAATACTGAGGGAGCTTCAGAGAGGCTCCTGTACTTCCTCACTCCTGTTCATGGTCCAAGTGCATATGGGGGCATTTTCCTTATCTAAGACTGCCCCGTGCATTAGGATACAAAATAAATAGCTGTAGTTATACTAGATAGCCATCATCAGCGAAAATCTTCAATATTCTTAACCCTGGGAGCTGCCCAAGGCTCCTGTATAGTGCAAAATAAAGGAGTTTCCTTCCAGTGCTTCCAAAATGTGTTGCTGTTCACTTAGCTCCTGAGCTCGAAGGATTGGTAGCAAACTTTACAAATGCAAAGTAGACACGCATTGCTGCAGGCTTCCATAAATATATTTGGAATAATGCATACACTTTCCTCTTTAAAAATCCTCCATCTAGCAATAATGGTTTCCACAGATGCTGCATATCCGTCACTACTAGTTTATTATGCATGCATGCAGCACGCAGGGCACTTTTCAATATTCTGGAGGGGGGAAAAAAACCAAAACTAGACAGACAGACATTCCTTGTCTCTCAATTCAAGGGCAGAAAGCAAGTGGGCAAAGGGTGGGAGAGGAACTATTTCTATGCAAGTCAACTAGTATAAGTGTAGGAAGCAAAGGAACAGAGGGCATATAAAAGAGTTTAAATGGGGACAGGCAGCAATCCTGGGGACGAAGAGAGAAACTTCTACTGAGAAATTATCCAGTCTGAACATTTGCTTCCAGCCTCTGTGGTCACAGAAAGATTCCTTACAAATATGAAATGATTCAGGAATCAAAACCTGGGAAATCATTTTTTCCAGTTCTCTGCTCAGACCACTCGACCATACCTCATTAGTAAGGAAATAAATACCTCATTAAACATAGGATGTCATGAACCCCTGAAAGACCGTCTTTATTTTGTAGCATCAACTTGAACTTTTAGGACACAGTCCAAAACCCACTGCTGTGGTATTCTGGCAGCACTTACCTCCTGTCCTGTAGCTACATCCATTGCTGTGTAAACTGTACCTGAGGCTCTAAACAAAAGAGAGAAAAGAAAAAAAAATACTTATTAGTGCCTCATAGCAAGACTGACAGCTTAACACATGCCCCTTCCCACTTGTCTCTTTGAAGTGCTCTCAGTCCCATTCCTTTTCATGCAATAATTCCAGTGGTAAATATCATCTGAAATATTTCTGAGCCAAGACTGCTGTTGGAGCAGAAGCCAGAGTTTATGGGGAACAAAGCTCCTAACAGAGGACACTATGGTCATCCAAACCCTTGCTGCTAAACCAGCAACGTAGCACAGCTTGTAGGACCGTGAGTTGATCCCATCTAAACTGGCATGACTGCGCTGCCCTGGCTTGCAGACTGCCCAACATGATTACAGAGCAGATAAGATCAGATAAAGTAAACAAATGTGGCATCTGTAGTGAGGGAAACAGGAGTTTGAGCCTCAGCACACGGAGCTGACAGCAGATATCTCAGTGATTTGCACTGATTTGCCTCACTATAGGCTCTCCCCCAACGCCTATTTTCCCCCTACCCTGCTAAGAGGGGCACAACACCCACATCAAGCAGAGTTAATTCAAAAAGCAAATCTGTAATTGTCTTGCATGCTGAAAATAAGCAGTTCCTTCCCTGCTTGCAGCTATATTTAGCAACCTGATCATCTAATGACATATTTTCTTACATTAAAACACAAATCGCGCAAAAAACCCAGTCCCTGTGACTCAAGACTTTGCCAGAAAAGGGAGAAGAGCTGGGGGTGGCAGGGGGTGTGGAACCCACCAAAACAACCAAAAAAAACACAAAAGAAAAAGAAAAAAAAACCCAAACAAATAAAATAAACTCTCCAAAGCATCACCAACAGCTTTTCCAGCAAACTAAATTAGCCTGGTTCCAGTGCTTCCTTCTTAGCATAAGAAAAGGTATAGGACAGAGAAGGAGGGTATACTAACCCTTGTCCAATCTTCTCAAAACATGTGTACTTCTTTTTTGGATCGCCCACACTCACAATACTTCCTACAAAACAAAAACAAAAACCACAAGAGGATTTTGTAAGTACTTTTTCGTACACCTATAAGAACCAACTGTACTTTAAGAGCAGCCCCATGGCCACAGCGGGCTCTGCTGAGCCTCATGAACCACTTGCCAGAAATCCAGAGGCACATGGACGCCAAGGAAGTCCTCAGTTATTTACACACACACCAGCTGCGGCATTCCCCTCTCACAGGTATTTCCCCTCAGAAATGGTGGAACGCAGACATTAAGCACATTTAATCTTCCCTAGCAGCCGGTGACTGCACACTGCTAGGCACAGGATGGGTATACATAGACCTCACACATGTAAATACAATTATTTGCTGGAAACCTGCAACTTAAAGTCAACTCCAGCTTCAACACACTGGATGATCTAAGATGCCCCTGCACTGCAACATCCTCTGAATTTGGAGGCCAGGGCCTCATTCATCTTAGAGCCAACAGTCTGTTGCAAATCTAGACAAAGATTTCCCTACACCATGACAATTTCTGGCAGAACAAAAGTAATTTACAACGTTTCCATATCGGCAGGACCGTAGCCATTACTGATGCAATGACTGGGTTGCAAGACTCGGGGGGGAAGCTGAAGAGACCCTACAGAGCCAAATCTCCCCTGGCCTGGGCAATGCTCGGCTGCTCTTCCAGGAACCCAACAGTCAGTGCAGGTTTTAGCAGCAGTTGCCATGCGACTGCAGCATTGCTCTGGTTTTGGTGAGCAACCCGAGGCAATCTCAGCTCATTCTCCCCTAATGTGGCTGTTCAGACAGAAGAAAGTGTATTACTGCATCCCTCAGAGGGAAAAGCACTTTGCCTGGTGTTCTGCAACACGGGGTGGTGAGGGGCCGCTCAGACTCAAGGTGGATTTGGTATCCACGAGGAACACAGTGTTTTCTGTATGAGGGGAGGGAGCTCTCAGCGCAAGGGTAGGCGGCTGGCAGGCTGCATAGATGCGCTGGAGTCCTGCGAATTGTATGGCGGGTTGCCAAGGGGTAAACCAGAGAAGCTGACAAAAGGAGCATCACTGAAACTCAACGTTCCCTGCAAACATTAACCGACATTCATAACACCCCTACGACAGGCAGCAATTGCACCCTTCTTAGGGTGAAGAAATCAGGGCCAACAATTCCTAGAGCTCAGCCGGGAGCAAGTCTCTCTAACAGCACCAGGGTGGCTAATAGGATCAAGGGATGCAGAGCTGCATCTGAGTTGGTGTCTGCAAGTCACTCAAGCTGCCAACACATGGTGCTGCTTTTACAGAGGTCTAGGGCTGAGCCTAAACAGATGTATATTGGCAAAGAAACTGCTCATGGTCATTAGGCCAAGAAATCCAGTAGCAAGCAGAATAAGAGGAGGCTATTTTCAGACACCACTGGAGAGCAGCCAAACCCACAGGGTTTAGGGCAGACAGAGGTAAAGGAAGGGAATATGGTCCACGTTTGGAGAGGAGGGTGGGAAGAGAAATCTGACTATATAAACCCCACTGTACTATTATGGAAGCAGTGCTGTTGGCCTTGAGGACAAGCATTTCTGAACAAATGTTCGTAAACTTTCCCTCAAAGCCTAACAGGCTACAAGTTCAGACTGTGAGACAGGCAACTGTTTCCCCATGGCAGTGACAGGACAGTGCTGTAGTGACAAGAGGCAGTTGCCAATCTTGCCTTGTTTAATGCTCTCATCTGTAAAATGGGGTAATGTGTCCTACCTCCCAAAAAGTCGATGATTCATTAATGTTTGCACCAATGCTGTGTTAATGCTAAGAGGTGGAGATTTATCAGCTTCCTTTTAACCTTTGCACATCTTCAGTATGTGTAAATATATACATGCTTTAAGATTTTAGTCATTTTATTCACATGTCAAACCAAAACATGAAAGGGTTGCACATCTTTGCACAAGTACAACTCCACGGCCCTCAGTGGAAAAACACCAGTTTACAACAGGATTAAACTTCATCACATATTTCTGACTAGCCCAGATCTAGAAGCTGACACCTAACAGCGGCCACTGAACTTCACACACCCATATATTTGTAACAAAACCCCTCAATGCTAAAGAATCAGTTCAGCACTGAACACCACTTGCTGGAGCAAGCAAGGTGTCAGAAGGCGCATCTGCCACCCAGCACTCCTAAGAGTGGCATTTTCATTTCTCTTCATTACAGAAGTGAGTGTATTTGTATTAGAATAGCACCTTTTTCCTGCCACAGTCCCTGCTTGCCCTACCTGGTCACAAAAATGGCTTGAATCCTTAATGATACAAAGGTCCTGCTAATTAAGTGAGTGAAGCTGCTGTTTTAAAACAATGGGTATGAGTTTTCCAATAGCAAGCAGTTCCAGTTAACATGCCATCAATTCAGTCTAGGCTTTATTCAGAGGAATGAGGTACCCAGATGCCATTTTAAGTTTGTTTGGTTTTTTTTTAAGTTACACCCTCAGATTAAATTTTCCTTCATCTAGCTACTAGCCTTTGCTTCATAAAATACTGACCTTTAGGGGTATACCCTCAACCGAGAAGACCAGCCTGACCGTAGGGGTGCTAACACAATTTACATCAACTGACAAGCAAGGCATGTATGCAATTAATATAGGATTAGTAGTTCAAAGAATTAGAAATGCTCTACCCCAATAAAAACTGGCCCAGGCTGAGGATAACAATCAGTTGCACGGAAGAGCTGGTTCAGCTGTTGGATATGCCACAGCATAACCCAAAAATACCAGGCAGCAGAGGAGCACTTTAGAAGACCCATGAACTGAAGGTAGGGACTGTTAAAGACACTAGGACACAACAGAGACATGTTTCTCAGAAACAACTACTAATTTGGGTACCCACACAATGTCAGGGCACTTAAAAATAACCAAGTCACTTTGTGTCATGGTATTGTGGAAGGGTGAACTTGGGGATGCATTAATTTTCTCTCCATCTTTTAGACACAGTAGGAAGCTCTGCTCACCTTACATCTAACATTTCAGTATAATCATCCACGCTCCAGAGCTACAGAATATCAAGATATTAGAAGGCCAATGGCATCCTGGCCTGTATCAGAAATAGTGTGGCCAGCAGCAGTAGGGAAGTGATCGTGCCCCTGTACTCGGCACTGGTGAGGCCGCACCTCGAATACTGTGTTCAGTTTTGGGCCCCTCACTACAAGAAGGACGTCGAGGTGCTGGAGCGTGTCCAGAG